CTCCCGGCCACCGCAGCCTCGACCTGCTGGGCTCCGGTGATCCTTCCGCCTTAGCCTTCCGAGTAGCTGGAACTACAGGCACGTGCTACCCCGCCTGGCTAATTTTTTTTTTTTTTTTAATTGCAGAGATGAGGTCTCGCCTGCCCAGGCGGGTCTCGAACCTGCGGGCTCAGGCAATCCACTCACCTCAGCCTCCCAAAGGCGCGGGATTACAGGCTGAGCCACTGAGCCCGGCTTGTACCCTCTCTTTCTAGTTCATTTCAGACAGAACTGTGTCATGAGTTCTTCCTAGCATTCCTCTATTTTAACTATATATATATATTACCCTTTGCATTTTTCTGAAAATTGTTATTTTTGACGGGAAAATGTTGTACCTCTTTCATAGGAAAACACCAAGTTACATATAGCTGGAGACAGGAATAAACCCCTTGACTTGTGGTATGATCCTGGGTGGCAGAGGAGGAAATTCAGAGATACAAGAAGGTCAGGGGATATTTCCCAAGGAGCAGTGTCAGGCCCAGCAGAGTCACACTGGCTCAGGGACACCAGTATTAGTGTTCTTCTCCATCTACCAGGACATATGCTTTGTGGTAATTAGTCAGGGAGATCTCAAAGGGTGTGTGTGTGTGTATGTGTGTGCGCGCGCGCGCGCGCACGAGTGTGTGTATATGTATGTATGAGTATATTGTGTGTGCACGTATACATGAATGTTTGAATGTTTGCATGTGTGAACATGTGTGCATACATGTGTGAGTATACACTTGTGGGTGTATGCATGAATGAGTGTTCTGTGTACTTGTGTGAGTGTATGTGTACACGCATGAGTGTATGTGCATATGTGTATGCATGCATGAATATATGTGCATGATTGTATGCATAAGTGAGTGTGTTTGCATGAGTGCATGTGTATGAGTATGTGTGCACAAGTGTTTGTGTTTGCGTTTGTGTGTGCATGAATGTGCATGCATGCATGAGTGAGCATGTGTGTTTGTGTATGAGTGACTTTGTACATGTATTGGCATGTGTGCATGTGTGAGTGTTTGTGCCAGTCATGGTGGGATTTCACACAGCAATGGTTGAGGGAAAAGATTAGAGGTAAGTATTCTGATAATTATCACTAGCTGCACATCAGACAAAACTCTGACATTAGAGTGATTCAACCAAAATATTCTCCAACAGAGGTTGAGAATCTCTTCTCCATCTTGGTGACTTTATGTCTGAACAAGTAGCCTCTGAGGTTCTAGTGGCAGGAAGAAGAGTGATGGAGGTACATGAATGTTTTTAATCGAGAGATAATTCATGTATCTAAAAATTAGCTCATGCAACCTCGACCTCCTGGGCTCCGGCGATCCTTCCCCCTCAGCCTTCCCAGTAGCTGGAATTACAGGCGCGCGCTACCACGCCCGGCTGATTTTTTGATTTATTGTAGAGATGAGGTCTCGCTGCCCAGGCGGGTCTCGAACCCGCGGCTCAGGCAATTCACTCACCTCAGCCTCCCAAAGGCGCGGGATTACAGGCTGAGCCACCGAGCCTGGCCATTTTCTGGTTTTTAATATAGTCTCAGAATTGTACAGCCATCACCACAAGCAATTTTAGATTTCCTCCAAAGAAACTCAGTACATGTAAGTACTCACCCCCCGTTTCTGCCAAATGCAACCTCTTCTTTCTGTATGTATTTGTTTTTTATATGTGTATTTTAAAACATGCAATTGCAAATATATATGCACATATGCATTATATAATAAAGCATAAAAGTAGTGTGAATATACATCATATATATGAATATATATGTGGCTGTATATGTCTAAATATTTATGTATGGAGTGTCCCATGATGCCTTTTAAAATCTCAAGTTTCACAGTTCTTTGTAGTTGTTTTATTTTATATTTTTAAAATAAAAATGTGTTACCTTTTAAAATTCTCTCTCTTTTTCCTCTGCCTTCGTATGCACCTTACCTATTTCAGTAATAGTCTAATTGTTAGAATCCACATGCTGTTTAGTTACTCAGAGGCTTATTTTTGTCTTAGATACATGATACACCCTTCTTGAAACCACAATATTATGTTTTCAAAGTCATTTCCGTCTTTCTTCCCTGAATGTTAAGATTCATTGCTTATATTCTCCCCTTTTAAATATGCCTCATGCATTGAAATGTGTTTGTTTCGGCCATTTTAATTTCTTCATATGATTGGTGATTGTCTTTGATGATGCTTCATGCCTAGCATTTCACATAAGGAAAGCATATTGGTGGCACAAAGAATCTACATGCCTGATAAACAGTACTAATTAAGTACAGTAGTAGCTTTTTGTTTTCTCTCCCCAATGTCAGTAAACAATGGTGAATTTAGGGGGTGTCTGTAATGCTGATGAAAACAAATTGGAGATCTGCAAAATTAAGGGAGTAATTTGGAACAGTTTACCCTGCTAGTTTGAGGAATTTAAAAAAATGGTATTCTTTCTTTTAACTCTCACAAAAGTGGACATTTGTGTCATCTGCCTTCAGATGTTTTCCTATGTGACTTCTGTTATAATCCAGAGCTATTATTTAAGGATAGTTATACATTTAAGAGACTCTACAATGCTAACCTTTTCTGAGAATGTGCTAGTATCTTTGATATGTAAATAGTATAAGGAAGGCCAACTGTAGTGTACTTGAAAACATACTGGCCTTGAAAACAGAAAACCTAGATTCATATTCTGCCTTAACCACTTACCAGCTGTGTAACCTTTGTAAGTCAACTTATCCTTGTGTTATTCACCTGCTTCTCCTTGAATTATTTCGGCAATCTTGACTTCAGGGGGTTGTTTGGAAGCTTGGGGTACACATTAGGTGTTTACTCCTTTTTTTTCCTTCATACAGCAATTAATTAACAAGAAGGAATTTCTATAAAAAACAAATTTGGTAATTCAGTAGTGACGTGAATGAAATAAGTTGTGTGTGCATATATTCACTAACCATCTTACATATATTTAGTCTACTTTCTAAGAGAAATTTAACATCCAGCTTGACAGAGTCTTTGCCCAAAGCAAGCTGAAAATAGATGGGAAAACTCTGTTATTCCACTTCTTTATTTTAAAAGGTGATATTGTTTTTTAATTTAAAAAATTATATTTATTAATATAAAAATTATTAAAATATATTTGGGAAATCAAGAGAAGTAGGCATTAAAGTATAGCTGCATTCATTTTTAAAATAGCTTTTTAAAAAATTTTTAGTGACAGGATCTCACTCTGTTGCTCAGGCTGGAATGCAGTGTTGTAATTATAACTTACTGCAGCCTCAAATTCCTGGGCTCAAGGGATCTTGAGCCTTGCATTAATATTTTGATTACGATTAAAAGTTGCTATGAATCTGGAAAAAAATATTTTGATGTATTTCTTTCTAGTCTTTTTTTTTCCTGGGCATAGAGGGATTTAATGTGTCTGATTTAATTATTCTACCTGTATTAAGTTGGACATGTACATTTGGTGACAGACCCTGCCTGAATTTGGAGGAAGCAGCAGAAGCTTTTTCAGAGGCGTATCTTGGATTCAGTTATAAGACTGCTCCCATAACGCAGGTCTCCCTCCATCTGTGGAGCCACTAGTGCCACTTTCATTAACTCTGCCTTGTTCAGAGGATCCTTCTCCATACACCTCTTGTTGTATGTGAATAGATAGCATATTACTGAACCCTTTGAATTTCTAATTTCTGAGCCTTTGCATGTGAGTGATAACACAGCAAGTATAAAATCATTGGTTATAGCTATTTCCACTTTCTTGACCAGTATTTCCCAGGATGTATTCCCTGAAAAACGAGCATTATAATGCACTTGAATGTTATACACAAAAGTGATTCCAATTAGAAGCATTCAGGCAATGTAGACCCATACAGAGTTTCTTCTTAGAGCCTTTAATATTCTGAAGTACATTGTGAGATGTGTTTGCTCACTGCCGTTTCCCAACCTTACTTGGTCACGGAAATCTTTCTTCAGAGAACATGTTGCAGGATCTTGTTCTTCAGCAGTTCCTTCAGGAAAATGTTGATAAACATATTGCTCTATTTTCTTCTGGCATTTAATTTTGGTCTGCAGAAAATCTGTGGCCTGCCTGATTTTTTGTTTGTTTCTTTCCAGATAACCCCTCACCACGTGCTTGAATTTGTGTAGGGCTCTTTTTACGACTGTTCTAAAAATGACAAAGACAAAAGAAAAACAACTGTATATGTGTATTTAGAAAGGGCCTAGGTGTGGAGTCTTGGTGCACCTGCACTGGCAGGGTCGAAGAAGCAAGCTGAGCAGTTTGCCTCAGAAATCAGCAGCCCATCCCCAGTTTTCCGATTATTTCAGACTTTGCGTTTCTAATTTTGCAGGAAAACAATGGGAAAGGAGCCCGCTCCTGTTTTCAGTGCAATTTGACACGTAATATATGGACCCCTGGTTGTACTTTGCAGTCCTTCGCTTTTACAACCTCACTGGCACTAACACATTGCCTGAATATTGGAGCTGAGGTCAAGACTGTTTTTAGCAATACTTCTGTCTGCAAACTATTTTAGAGCCTGTGTAGAAGCACCTCATTTGATGGAACTTGAAAGCCAAAGCAGTTTTGTTTCATAAAGGCTCAAAAATCAGTGGCTGGTAACAGCACTTTCCTCTCGTGCCACCCTTGGTGGTGATAGGTGTGTTCTTGGGGAATAAGCAAACACCTTCACTGCCCTCGAGTGGTACCAGGATAATTTGATATTAAAATAATAGAATTGGGGATTTTGCATGTCCATTTCTACATAGAAATGAATTACTAAGGTAAAAGACCAACTTAGAAATCAACACCAGGGTTGTAAAAGCGACCAGCCTCTTAAGATTAATGTATTGCATAAGTTAATTATTATATGAATACAACACTTAGAATAGTACCCAACATGTAGAAAGACTTAATGTAAGTGTTAGTTAATATCGTTATTTGTGGTACAATGTTTTTGATTTTACCTTAATTAGATTCACTTTTCTTTTTTATCTGGTAGGTCAAACTGCGCTGAAAATATCCGCAAGCACATCTTACATACTGGCAAACATGAAGGAGTCAAGATGTACAACTGCCCCAAATGTGACTATGGGACAAATGTCCCTGTGGAATTTCGAAACCACTTGAAAGAGCAACATCCTGATATCGAAAACCCTGACCTTGCTTACTTGCATGCTGGTAAGGGACTAAAACTATTATAATACTTGTTTTTAACAGGATTTCATTTAATTAGTCACAATGATTATAATGCTATTTGCACATTTCCATAATTTATTTTAACGGAGTAGAGTATGTGATAGTATCTGCTTCGAGACCTATTAAAAAATAGAACATTCCGGTCTTGTCCCACTCAACTATGAAAAAAGGACTTTTCGACTATATTTTATCCAAAAAGCAAATCTGACAAAGTAATCATCCTAGGGCAACACAGTTAATAATAGATTATTAAAACATAATTGCACTGAAATGGAAGTAGTTAGTTGATCTTTATATTTTTGACTAATTGATAAAATTTTTACTTTTTTTCCCAAAAACTGTGATTTAAAACATTTTGCCCCTGTCCCTTTGGACCCTCATTTTCTGTTGTATATCTGGAAAGAACATGACCTGTGACTGATGAGAGCAAGTCAGGTAACTTCGGTGGTAACATAGTGCTGCTTATTTCCCAGAAATCAGGGGATACCTGTCACTGGGTTTTAGGGAAATGCTAGTGAGAGCAGTGACTGCCAAGGTGGCCACAGCCTCTTAGATTGCAAGTCAGGTGCTTCAGAGGGTCTTGGAGATGGTGCAACAACTGCAGGGCACAGAAGAGCTACTTTTCTAGCCCAACAGGTGGTTTACTTAACAAGTATTCTTTTCATATTGAATTCTTACTGTGCAAGACAACAAAATGGTGGGTTATGGGTGTGGGAACCTATTTGAGGAAGTCTTACTCGGAAGTAGGATTTGGAGAAGTGTTCTAAGATTTAGCCCAAGCAGTAGTGTATTTGAATAAGGCCACCTGATGCGGAGTGTGTTTTAAACAGATGGCTTCGGACCAGTTAGAGCTACTTTTAAACTCTTCCTCCCCGTATTGGCCGTGTGACCTCAGGCAGGTTGACCTCATCAAGTCTCAGCCTTCCCCTGTGTAAATCTGTGTGATAGTCCTGCTTAACTGGGTCACTGTGAGAATTAACAAAGCTAATGACTAGGAAACTGTTAGTGCAGAGCATTTCCTGCCTAGACTGTGCAGTACTGAGAGGTAGTTGGTAGTGGTGGTGATGGGGTGAGCATGGTCATCTGTCTGAAAGTCATGGGAAATCATACCAGAAATGCAAGATTCCATTTCCCAAAGATTTAATCAATACTTGCTTATAGAATAGCTGCACTGAAAGAAATATAATTTGATGAGTGATTTAAGTTAGCATAATATTCTTAATACATTTGGCAGTATATAGGTATGAGGTTATTACTGTTTGTTCAGGTTTTCAATTTATGTTCATATGCGTGACTTATTTAAGTAGTGGTAGCATGTTTGATTTGGTTAGCTCTTTGCTGTGTCCGGAGCTATTTTCGGAAAACAAGTGGTCTCTGCTTTTTCCATTTGGTAGGGTTGTCACTGAAAGGGTTTTGAACTAAACAGTTCATCAGTTTTAGTTCACAAAAATAGATAAAGTAAGTTGAGATATCTCTGTCCATCAGTACCTATGGGTTCTTCATAAATCTGAATATATAACAATATCGATACCGGGAATACTGTCCACAAGAGGAGGCTCTTCTAGAAATGGCCAAGCAACACCATCTACATGGATGGTGAGTGTCTGTAAAGTCTCCTCCTCATGTGAGTGGAGCTCTGTCTCCTTTCCAGGTGCAAGATTGACACATCCATCTCTCCCTTCCCTCATACCAATTAGACATTAAAAAGGGATTGTTTTCCCAAAATAAAGTGTCCCCAACTTTCCAAATAAACTGATGCTGAAAAGGGGAGGCAGTCTAAATGCAGACCACAGAAATACCTGCATTTTGTCGTTCTGCACAGTGCGGATAGGCTGCCTTGCTACACTCCCTGTCCTAGCTATACTGTGACTTGGCAATATGTTGTGAGATCTCATTATTTGTATAAAAGTCATCGTTTCCTTGTGTTTGTGTGTAATGAGTGTACTGTTCTTGTTTTCTTTTTATATTTGTGTGATTCTGTTGGAAATACTTTTCTCTGTAAGTCAGAGTAGCATTCTAAGTATTTTCACGAAAGAAATACCTGTGACACCAAGGGGATGCTGACGGCTTCTTCTTCCGAAGGCATGGCAGTATTGCTCTTCAGGAAAAAAATCTTTGATTAAACTTAGCTCATTAGGAGAAAACTTTGAAGAGGTAAAGTTTTTCAGACTGACTTCTTTTTAGCCTTGCAGTTCTAAGTCCTTGGTGATATGTTTTAGTATGATTTTTGAGTTGAAGTGTTGCTGCTGCCATGACGTTGTTGGGTGGTGGTTATAGGCACCACAGCTGAGCTTTGATGGGAGGTGTGTACGACATTCACATGGTGACAAAAAAACCTAAGGACACTCTTAGCTGCATTCTCTGGTGTCTGTAATATCAGTGTGATCAGAATTTTGCAACCTAAAATTCAGCAAAGCATAGTATGCAGTTCATTTAATAAAAGTCTTAGTGCTTTATGTATTTCACCCGACTCAAAGAATAATCACTCCAGTCCTGATTTGACTGTATCACATCTATCAGACATCTAAAAGTCCCAACAGAACAACACTGAAACTAAAAGTAGTGTGATTTGGTTGAGATAGTATAAATTTTAGTGCAGTAATACCTGGAAATGTTATATATCCAAGTAAGTTATTTTATTTTTTATTTGAAAACAGTTGTGTAGAAAGAGGTTTTCCTGTGGTCGTGCTGTTCCCTTAGTAGCTGTACACTGGTGTGTAACTGCAGTAATTTACACAAATACCACAAAATTGGAGCCTGTGGGGACCCCAATTCAAGTTCCTACTGTGCCACTTCATAAGGATGGATGGGTTTCCCTGGACATCTCTGTACTTCAGATTCCTTATCAGTGAGCACAGGAGTTTGAATGAACCAACATTCTGTACTCCTGTGGGCATGGCTTTCAGGGAGGATGGGCTCTGATATGATCTTTATCATCCCCATGACCTTGGCGGGTGACCCTGGAAACTTTATTTTACCTCTGTGGATCTATTTTCCTCCTAAGATGGGGATAGAGATGCCTACCAGACAGAATGTTCATATGCTTTACATGAGATAATCCTCTACGTAAACTGTTTGACATGACAACACTTAGCAAAAATGGATGCTCAGTTTTCTATCTAGCAGAGGTTGATTATTCATTGTATTTTTTTCTCAATTCTTTTTGGTGACTAGTAGAACGATTTGGGTATCATTTTCCATCTCATACAGCAGAAAATGAAAAGCTACATGTGAGTTCTAATTTTAGGTGTAACCCTATATGAAGCACAAGACAAAAGTAGCTTCTTTAATTTTTTGACTGTGGATAACTTAGAAATGTAATGTTCAGTTTCTAGGTAGCTGGGCATTTTCTAGATTTGTTTTTGTTAACATTGAAAGAAGAGTAAAAATGGATTTTTAGCTTAAATTTGCTGTTTACGAACATACTGTGAGTTATTTCAATACTTTTAACAATTGTGTAGTCTTTCTTATGCTCAGCAATTGGTGAGTTTTAGTAAATGTTTGAGACACGCTAGAATAGAATGTCAGTACCAGTGTTGCTTTGGTGCTTGGTGCCTGATTTGTGTTCCCTGTGTGAATCACAGTAACAGTGTTTTTTCACTGTATGTTTGAGATAGTATATTTTTACTTAATTTTTTAAATGCTGGTTCTACCAAATGTTAAGAGGGGTATGTTGAAGTTTACTACTATGATTGTAGATTTGCCTAACTTTTAAAATTCTGTTAATTTGGGCTTTAACGAGGGGGTCATACACAAAAAAACAGAATTATCTTTTGGATGGCAGGCCCCTTGTAGTATATTCAGAATTTGTTCCTCCATATTAAACAGTCAATCAAAGTTTTTAACTGGAAGTTTTGAGAAGGTTGCATCATAATTTGTGGAAGAAATGTCTTGAGTTGTGGCAAATAAGTGGCTGCTTCTTCCTTCATGACAGTGCATCTATCCCATTGAGTATTCAGCAGCCTTTGGCCAAAATTGGCATGATATCCATGCCCCACCCTCCCTATTCACTCAATCTCTCCTTGAGTGACATTTGTTTTTTCCTGGATGGAAAAAGTCCTCAAAGGGGAACATTTTGCCAATGTGGTGGGAGTGAAACAAAAAACAGTAGAAGCACTAAAAGGCATCAAAATGGGCTAGTTCAAAAACCGTTTTGAGCAGGGGAAAAAGCACCTCAGTGGGTGTATTGTATCAAATGGAGAGTACTTTGAAGGTGACTGAAGTTTAAACATGTAAGAATAAATACAATATTTTTATAAATTCTGAGTTTTCTGGGGTCTCCCCTTTTATATTTTGAATATGTATCACTAGGTACTCAGAACTTTAGGGCTGTTTTGTACACATACACACAAATGATAAAGAATATATATGTATTCCCTTATAATCATGATATGCTCCTTTGTTTCTGTAGCCATATCTCTTGTCGTCATTTGGTATTAATATAGTTACACTAGCTTCCTTATAAGCAGCATATAGTTGCATTTTGTTTCTTTATCTGCTGGGACAATATTAGTATTTTGCATGACATATGTTAAGTCTTTTACTTTAGTATTTGTACTAAATGTAATTATTGATATATTAGTTACTGTCAAAAACCAAAAGTACTCAAATGTCCATCTAGTAAAGTGTATAAAGCAGAGGTCCTCAAACTTTTAAAACAGGGGGCCAGTTCACTGCCTCTCAGACCGTTGGAGGGGCGGACTATAGTTTAAAAAAAAACAACTTATGAGTCGGGCTCGGTGGCTCAGCCTATAATCCCGCGCCTTTGGGAGGCTGAGGTGAATGGATTGCCTGAGCCCGTGGGTTCGAGACCCGCCTGGGCAGCGAGACCTCATCTCTACAATTAAAAAAAAAAAAAAAAAATCAGCCAGGCCTGGTAGCGCATGCCTGTATTTCCGGCTACTCGGAAGGCTGAGGCGGAAGGATCGCCGGAGCCTAGCAGGTCGAGGCTGCGGTGGCCGGGAGCAGCCACTACACTCCAG